AAGCAAAGGGGAAAGGGGGAAGGGGAAGGGGAAAGGGGAAGGGGGGGAAGGGAAAGGATGGGAAGGAAAGGGGAAGGGAAAGGGGAAGGGGGAAAGGTTGGTTTCCTGATCTGTTTCTGTCCCAAATAGCTAAAGTACACACAGTGAAAAATTCACACTGCTCTCTCTCCTGTTTGGGTAAGCATATATATTTTGCAAAAGAAATACTTATGAAAAGAGCATTTCTCCATTTGCAGAAGGGACAGCAGTACAACTGTAAATATCGAGAGCTGTGCATTTCCAGAGGTTACCGTGGGCAGGGGAGATACCATGGTACTAGCTTTTTTTTCCTTTTTGAGCACCACTATTCTTTAGTATTAGAAGCATAACCATCTGTAAGTTCTAAAGGTTACAAAGGAGGAATATAGGCCACACTCACACGGGAAACTCAGCTTCCACATCTAGTAGGTGTTTATGCCAGTTTGGGGATCTGGGACACAAGCAGTGGAGATTACTCACAGGGAAGAATGACAGCTCTAGAGCAACCCCTCCTTGCCTTAGAAGACTTAATCTCAATCTACAGCACAGAGCCCACGCAGGTGATTTAGATAAATGATGCACCAGTCTTCAGACATTCTGTGAAAAGTTAGCTCTTGTATTAAGGCTTATATCATGGTTAAACATAGAGATTTTATTGAACCAAGAATTCCAGTAGAACAGGTATAATATTGAAGTTGACATGTACATTAGCTTTGTGTTATTGATGTTGTGGCTTCTATTTCTTTGCACCTTGAATGTAATGTGAATATCAAATAGAAATTCAGCTGGCATCAACTTTCCCAAATTGATCACAAGTTAAAAATCTAAATCTTAATTTATTTTTCTAGGTTTTCTGTCTTTGTGAATAAGATAGGCTGTTCTTCAGAAAGATGTTACATAGAAAGGTGGATATACTAACAATCCTTTTAGAGAAAAGAAAGGCAACCTCATTTCACTCATGCTTCCCAAACATGGGTAGAAGCTCCTGTAATTCATAATAATCAAAATGTGATCAAAATACATCATGCTTCCCTTAAATTCTAGTTCTACTTCAAATAGAGGGGGTAACAGAGCTAAAATAAAACTTCTGTCCAAACTTTTGTGTACTTGGAGCAGACAGAAGGAAAAATTCAGTACTGTTGTACACAGGGATGGAAACAAAAATCCTGCCACAGCCAAACAAACAAAAGTACAGGATGTCAATTGTATCTCTAATTGTTAACTGCTAAAATAAGTTATCATAAGGCAACTAGGTACAAACATATATATATATATATATGCATGCATGTATAAAATTAGACTTATAACTATGTGAATTTCAGTACCTGTTTTTCCCTCTGTAGGTATGCTCCCCGTGGTGTAGTTGGATACAATGTGTGTATGACATTGTAAGGCCCTAAATTAGCTAGGAGTATTACTCATACTGAAGAAATTTGATTCCCTGATGTCACTGGTAATAAAGTAATAACAATACCTTTGCAAAAGATAAAATATAATACCTTTTCTGGTCCTAAGTCCATGTAATCTCACCTGCTGGTTATTTGCAAAAGCCCAGGAGTGAAAAGACAACCTGTTTAATAATTAATCTCCAGAAGTACTAAGCACCCCATTTATATGAATAAGGATGCATCTATAATATCAGAAGCATCTTCTCAAACACTAAGGCCATGTTTATTTAAAAATAATATTTTCTCCTTAAAGGCCAGAAGACCACACCTATGTTTGATACACATTCTACCCAAAATGTCAAGATATGCATGCTGCTCACAAGTGAGAAGCCCCTTAGTCCCCTGGGGTAAGCCAGCTTCACAGTTTCAGATTTCTTTGTCAAAGACATCTTCAAATGATACCAATTTAGTATAGGAGCACTTTCCTAGGGGCCTAGACACTTAGGATGTCTCATTCTGTCCAAGTAAACCCAGAATCATGACATTTGTACTGCATGTTGGAAACTGATATTAAACTCTTTAATGGAGTAAAAATCCAGCTACAATTACATTTTTCCTGATCTGTCTGTTTACCCTTCTGTTCTTACATTTAAAAAAAAAAAGATTAACATTTTATCCATGTCATTTACTTGTTGTTTCATAGACTATATTGTTTATATACAATCATTGTTCACATTAAATTATGTTTTACTAAAATCTACCTAAAAATCAAATATTGCATTTGAAAATAGTGTGTGCTGGACAGTGACACATACCTATAAATATTCTTCATTCTTCCTCCCTGCTTCTGGCCTGAGGTAAAAGGCTTGCTCATAAAATGGAATTTTATATTCTGAGGAAGCAGAATGTGTTCGCTTTTTGTATTAGAAAAGTTAAAATTCCTTTCTCATCGTAATCTGTAATCTGACATGCTTATAAATGCCCTGTCAAACTCTGCCTTGCACATTCCTAATCTTCTGTTGATAGTCATATTGACTTCCATTTACACTGCTTCACTCATGCCCATTCATACTGAATCAGGCTTTGTGCTTGGTTGATCACACTGAATGAAAACCATTCATTGCCTCTCAGACTTTTATATTCATAACCATTCCTATTTCTTTATTCATATTCTCTGCTTCACACATCCATTACCTCAAGGTATTTCAAGCCTGTGTAGCCTTAAAAATTTAAGACCTGATTTAGGAAAAAGAGCATCCATAAAACTGATATGCTTAAGAAAAATCCACTTTCTGGATTTTCTTCTTTCCTGAAAAGAAAAATGGGAAGTTTTAGCGAACTGGAAGAAGTGTGGAAAAATATTGAAGTGGAATATTTGTTATGGTGCTCACCAAGGGCAGTTGCTGATACCCTTGTAATGAATAGTTCACTCTCTGAGTATGTATTGACTGAGTTGGTCCACTCAAAGTATACTTCATTGCTCAGGGTGGCTGAGGACAGCAAAGACTGCCACCCAAGCCTTTGGAGATTTGCAATTGAGAAATTATTTTAAGTATGTCAAGACTATACAGTCTGATTGCTAGTCTTAAATTGGGGTGTGAGGGGGCACTTGTTTTAAACAGAGAGATCACTTCTGCTTCAAGGAGTGTTTTGACACCTATGGACCACGCGTAAGATGTGCTATAATATAGAGGAGCTGATATTTTTGGCACTATAGAGTTGATATAAAAATTCAGACAGATTCCCTCTCCCTCCCTGTCTTAATAGCACTTTCCTGACACTCTCTGGTATTTGTGAAGTACTCAGAGCTGAGTGGTACCGTGCATGACAAAAGGCTTCCAAACATGATACCATATTACTTTTCTATTCATTACTTGGTTTGCTATTTGCCAGATGTATACTTCAGTTACAATGCAAAAAGAATATACTGAATATATGTGCTATATTATGAATTTATAAACTTCAATGTGTTTGAGAAAAGATTTATATGTTTTTCAGCTTTGCATTTTCAGTAAAAGCATGCCACCACTTATTTATCTTGACTATATTATAACCCTCCATTTCTCTGTAATATATAACAACTACTTCATGCAGTTGATTTTCTTCTTTTATGTAGGTGGATTTTATCTCAAATGATCTGCTACCCATTATCAGGCTTGATATATAAAAATCTGATATAGTTCCTCAAAAGGCCACAAAATTATCCTTTTCTTTTTTTATGGAAATGACATAAAAATACTCTTCAACCTCAGATTTAATGTTCTGGTCTTTCTCTGTCATTTATTCTTTTTATTTCCTTACAGCCCATGTCCCAGTAGATATTTCTTGCCTGGATATATCTAAAATACAGCACAACAGACTAAAAAAAGGGGTGTGTTCTTATTAATGGAGGTAATTTGCAAGCACAGTAGGAATTTTCTCAAGTTTAAAGGGTAGACATTTTATGACTTTTCTGTGGTAGAAGCAAAGTATTCTTAGTCTTGTTGAGAAGACACAACAAAACAAAACAAAATAAAACAAAACACAGCCCTGCTTTGTTTTTCCATTCAAGGTAAAGAATGTACTCACCGTGTTGGAAAATTCTTCCTTTCATGGGGCGCCAAGACCGGCAGAAGGAAATGTCTACCAGGAAAGGAGTATCCAAGTGATGTCCCAGCATCTGGTCTAGTGGGTCCCACCAACTCTGTGGTCAACCTGAATTAGGAGAAAGTGCTAGATCAATTTTATCATCTACTGGAGGAGGCATCTGCCACGTGGACTTTCTAAACCAGACAGGTTAATACTGCTCCCATAAATCACAGTAGGTGATTAAACACTGCTGTTTAATCTATGCCAAATCCACCACATGGTGGTGGGCCTTGTTGGTCACATACTTTTTGCTATTATGTAAGAAGATCAAAATAACCCTGAATTGTGCCATATCAAATAGCCATCATTAGAAGGATGGCCGTAGTGAAATAAAGCATCGTTTTGCACATGATAATTTTTAAATGCCTTTTAAAGCCTCTTAAAAGTAAAACACCAGCTGTCAAGAATTGTAGTTAGGCAGTGGAGAGTCAGCAGGTGTTTCAGGGGAAAAGCAGGATACAGTCCCGGGGTGGCACAGAAAACCCCATGGGGCAGAGAGGGGAACAAGCATACATATACATACACACAAATATATATACACATGTGTTGCCAGATCCCTAGTTTGCGTAAATCACAATGGCTTAATCTGTGCCCTGACAATGTAAAAAAATCTGAAGATCTCAACTGTATCATTCTGTATCATACACCCATTCTTCATGGACTTGGAGTAACAGCAGTTTCATAGTCCCACAAAGCCCTTTGCTTGCTTAGAAGCTGAAAAGGGTTTGGGCTTTAGTTTGGCTGGGGAAGAAGGGGAGGGGATGTTGTTTGACTGAGGATTTTTTCTTCCCCTAAAGTAAAGGGCACAAACATGAAACTGTCTATTACACGCTTCATAGCCTGCATGGTTCAAAATTTTTTAACCAAGTGTGTAGCTGGTGCACTTTAACCAAGTGTCAAACAATTTCAGTGGCTCCCAGGAGATAGCCATTCATACCACAGAAGCTGGTATGAATAATGTTTGTAAATTTGAGTAATAGTGCTTCCTGAAAAACAATGTCTTTTTCAGTATATGTCTTTTTATTACCTGCAGCTCTTTCATCAGCCAACATCTGCTCTTTGATTCAAGCTCTTTCCTTTTTCCCCATGCTAATAGCTGTTAACACTGAACCTGCCTGTTACAGTTCAGGCTGTAAACAGCATGGAAATATTCAGCGTTGCTGGTGTCAAGAGCCTTTAATGCAGTCCCAGACTTTAAAGGGTACCTTCAAATAGATAGGAGATCCGCCTTCTGTCATGTTTCAGCTTGACATTCCTGAGGCAGCACAAATAACCTGCTCGGTACAGTGTAAAAATCATTGAAGTAACAGACGAAAAGTTTGTTTTCTGTAGTTCTGCTTAGTAAAAATAAAATATATATTCATGATAAATAGCAACGTGCCTTCACATAGGTATTTCTCTTCAATCATTAAGGCTGAGCTTCCTATTCGAATCATTGCTCATATAGTCTTCCTCCTGAAAGGAAGACAGGGAAAAAGAAGAATCCTTTTAAGATGTATCACCAGTCTAAATCCATCAATCCAAACGTGTCTGTGGTATTTTGCAGGCCATTGATTCAGCAGTTGCACACACTTTTTTTTAATACTCCCCCACTGCATGCTCCGTGCCACCTCTTTTTTCGCAAAGTGTAGTCCTGCACCCATCCAAGTGGGCCAGATTATTCACAGTAATGGAGGTTAGTCACTGTCACCCACACTACCCAGCCTCTGGATATCAACAGTGACACTTGTGGGGATGGTATGGCATTCAGAGAGATGTTTTTGAAGTCATACTTAGTCAGGTCAGGCTCTTGATGCAGTCTTAAGACAGTGCCTTCTTATTGCTCGAGTTCGGCTCCTCATGCATGCGATGCCTGAGATCGTCTTAAGACAGCGCTATTCTCATTGCTCGAGTTCGGCTCCTCATGCATGCGATGCCTGAGACCAGAGGTGCTAAAAATTAAATCAGCCATGTCTAAGTGAGGCATTCTGGATATCTGCCTGCCTGCAGAACATGAGGATTTCTCTGTATCTTTGGGTCTGTGAATTTGAATTATATCTAAGCCATAGTAACTTCATTAATTTAAATCAGAGGCTCACCTTGGATAAATTCATGCAAACAAATTCAGCAACGTGTGATTGTTTATCACCTGCAGAGGTTTACTCAATAGACTAGACTTAGATCTACTCATTCATTCATCATTCAGTAATATAGGCTTTAAAGGGCAACATGAACAAGGTCTGTTTGCCAAGAAAAGACATATTAGTGTACATCTTAGAGTACAACATACTGAGCTGAAAATTGCACTACCCCTACTTTTAATTGACAGGTGGAAAGCCATTTCTCTCTCTGTTCTGCATTGCATTGGCCCGATGGGTCACAATAATCCAGCCACCGTGGAGCAAATGATGCAGCACTGCCAGAGTCTGCATCCCAGGTGAAGAAATCAGTACCTACAGTCACTCCCTGCAGCACAGGCTTTGATAAATGCCGTCATAGTTGTGCAGATGGAATGGCAGGGAGCTGTTTCATTGTGTTTGTTATCTACGAGGCTGTCAGTGACTCAGTATCACAGCCAGCCTGTCGGACAAACTGGTGGGGTTTGCTGAAATGAGGTAACATAGTCCAAACGGGATGCTAAGCAGCACACACACACACCAATGGCTCCCCGCTGAATGCAAGGCCTATTTGTGAACATGCAGGACGTTCTGGTAAGTCTTCAGATATCTTTATTCTGGTATAACTTGCTCAAACATTTAGGATCAACTGGCTTTTCTGTCGAAGTGGACACTTTTCAGTTCTCAACTGACAGGGAGGGGATGAGGTGTTGAATTTCTTGTGACAGAAATGCAAGTCCAATAGTGTCGATGATCCAGTTAATAGAATGCTCCACATTCTCTAAGTATGGTCAACATCATAGTTTCCAAGCAAATATTCATTACTATTAATTAATGTATCCTCATCTCAACTCCTCTGAACTACAAAAGTTTGATCCCTACCTCACACAATTTGCTCTAAATATTTTTCAAGCCATAAAGTTGCATTCTTTCTTAATTAAGTCCAAAAGATTCCTTCTTTCTCCTGCTCCAGGTTCCACTATTCTTTGATGCCTTATTATTCTACTTGCCATCTTTATTTTGTTTGCATTTTATCTATTATTCCTCTCATTAATCTGATAGTTGGGGATACTGTATTCTATTGGAAAGGAATGAATATATAAATGCATGTTTTATTTCTTCATTTATCAGATGTTACATACCATATTGATATTATATTTGTAGTACTTTAGACCCTATTTCTAAATTAATTAGGCATTACACTGGCAGGTCATCCAAAATAAATTCCATTTTGCGCATCTTAGTCAAAAAATCTTTGACTGCTGAAGATTATGTTCCATGAGCATCCAACACATTCATTCACAGAATACCTGACTGTGGAATCCTAACGTGACATTAATGAAGTTGCTATTTCTACACAGGTACAAACAGGCTGCAGTTTATACACAGACATAAATATACACACATGTATTTATGATATTAACAAAAGGTGTGTATATATGTGTATATCTATATGAAAAATCTCTTCGTACCTATACATGTTTTACAATGTATTTTATACCTAGTTTTAAGTATGTTATGTATTATGTACACCACACACACCTTATGCAAATATATATACTTACGTGTATTCATACATATGAGTATCACTTTTCTATCACTGCTAATTAGGATTGATAGTGATAATGTTGATAGACCCTTAACAAATAAAACATGACAGGCATTGCCGATTTGGGCAATTATACTACACCTCAGGTGGTGTTAGCTGGAACTAAGCCAAATGACTATAATCACACAAGAACTCCAATAATCTCTCTGCAATGGTTTGAGTGCCTTGTTGTTACTTTGAAATGTTATATGATACATAAAAATAAGGAAGAGAAATGGTTCTGTTCAAACTTATGGTCAAAGGAATGTCAAACAGTCAAAAAGATTCAAATGTGTTGTGATCTGGAAGTTTTTCATTTAATTACAGCAGCATTAATAAATGTCACTTTAGTTTATACCTTTTTCAGCATGAGCTGTGCAAAACAATAGATTGTCTAAAAAGCAGATGATTGTTTCTTCTCAGGCAAAAGTAAATTCAGACAAGATTTGGAAGAGCCCTTTTGTCAGATCAAAACATCTATAATGTCATCAGTGATCAGGTACACTTTCTATACAATTATTTTTTTAACATGATGCTTCTGGGCCAAGTGTTTGCACGCTCCTTTGGACGGCCACTGCTTTTAAAAAATTCTTTAAAGTGGCTTTGCAAAATATATGACTGCCCAAGACAATTTTGGTATGGGGTTACATTTTTTATAATTTTTTTAATCATCCTGGGAAAAGCAAAAGTTCATGTGTTATACAGACCCAGTTGCCCAAAAGGAAACATAAAGCAGCGTCTAGGCAGAATGGGGATGGCTGCAACCTGACCTAGAGATTAAACCTCAAAACCCCTCACAAATTCCGTTAGTCCTCACTTCCACAGGTACTTGATGATCTTGTGCATGCCCAGAAAGGCACCAGTATGGCAAGGCTGTGTAAGAAAGACTCAATCCTACCTTTAAGCTGAAGAAATCCAGGGAGGTCTACCATCCCTCCTGATGCTGACCTTCCATCCTGTGAGGAGTACATTCAGGCGTCACGCTCAACTCCTAAACCGGAATTTCCTCTCTCAAAACATCATTTCTCGACGTACGTTAAACCTCCTCATGGTCCTGTCGTTCCTGGTCATGGGTGACAGATCACTGCACTTTCTTAGGGAAACAGCTGTATTCTAAAATCCATCTGTAATCCTGTGTATAAAACACTCTGATGAAACAGCGGATTAGAACTAGACCAACAAAGATATCAATCAAAATAGTTATTAAGTGCCAATTACTTTGTTTGGTAATTAACTAATACCTAATGAATTTCCTCATAGCTGTTTCCTTTAAAGCCAATTAAATGCTTGAACAGACCTTCCATGTTTAATAAACTAATAAGAATGATCCATTTACAGTGTATGCATTTTTGAATAATTACCAAGCAGCTGTTCTTATCTCCAGTATTTTTATTAAACCTCAGCAATCAGTTTTAACAATAATTCGGTATTTAAAATGCATGATCTTGAAAACTTCGTTATATTAATTTGTGTTGCTTTTGAATAATTTTATTTTGGTACACACTGTTTGTGATTTGTCAACGCACATAGAATTTAATTTTAGTTGCTGGTAATGAGTTAACTAGAATTTGAAATTCCATTGTCCTGCAATATAATTATTTTCTTATCTGTAAAATATTACCTTTTGGTTTCAGACACATACACTACAAAAATGGCGTTGATTCTGCACAAGGCACATCCAGCTTAGTAATATTTTCCAGCAGTGCTCATGAGCAGAAGCCTAGATAGAAACTATGTTCCAGGTGCACATCCAGTTTCTACAACAGCCCATGTGAGATATGGATCCGTACAATCCCATACCACCCCTTCTTTGGTACTCAGCTGCCCCCCTGCTCTGTCTTATGGATCTTGGTTCTTGCTTGAGAAAGGATGAATGCCCCATCCCTGCAGGTGTTCAAGGCCAGGTGCTCGCTCTTACGGATCTTGGTTCTTGCTTCAGAAAGGATGAACACCCCATCCCTGCAGGTGTTCAAGGCCAGGTTGGATGGAGCAACCTGATCTAGTGGAAGGTGTCTCTGCCCATGGCAGGGGGATCAGAACTAGATGATCTTTCAGGTCCCTTCCAAGTCTAACCATTCCATGATTCTACGATTCTATGACAGTGTCCCTTTGATCGTGGTCCTCTTTCTTCTTGCCACACCTGACTCAGCAGATCTCTGCCCTTTTCTCCTGCAGCCTTTGCCCTCCCAGGCTGAACACACTAAGCCTACCCAGCCATTCAAAGCAGCACTTTGCAGTGTGCATGTCACACCCTCCAAAATGCACAGCAGTGCCCCATGTATACCTGTTTCCTTGTTTGTGAGAGGACGATTGTACTTACCCACCTTTTCCAAGGTGTTTCAGGTTCTCCTGAAACACTTTTTGATATGCATGAAAGAATACTAATTTGATCCACTTACGCTTTCAAATGCAAAATTATTATTATTAACGCCAAAAAAGAAAACAATGAAGCTTAATTTATTTCTACTTCTCTGGATCGTGTAATTAGTATGGTAATAAGAAAAAAATAAATATATTCATAGAATAGATGCAAAATGTTGTACTTGTTTTAGTATAAACTAGTATTTTAAAAAGTTAGTTTGGCAAATGACCAGGTGTGCAAAGCATGAAAATGCCTACAAAATAATAATATGTGTTAGAGCAGATACAGGATCATAACATCAATACTAGAGAATGCACGTTTAGTATTTTCAGAATAAAAACTCTATATTCACTAAAACTAAAAAACAAATATACAAGATGTTCTAATTTTTATATTTCCTGAAGGCAAAAGACAGTTTTCTCTGGATACAGTGAGGAAGACTCTCAAATAAATAAATAAGAGGAAATTAAGTCAGAAAAAGGTCAGCTCAGGTTCCTATCTTATTAAAATCAAATGAATTTGGATAATGTGTTTTTCTTCTTGCTAGACGATCAGTGCTGTGCAGTCTGTGATTTGTCCTCTGAAAGAAGGATCACCAACAGGAGCCCGTTAGGTCACTGCCAATCTGTTGGCAGAGAGGTTCAGTGCTGGGAACTAACCTGAGGTGACACGAGAACAGCTGTGGGTCCTAACAAGTGGCTGGCATGCACAGGCTGTCTCAAACACAGGCAGCAACACAGCCTTTGTGGATTTCTAATGGGATGGTGTTTTAATCCTCGTGTATAGACACGCAAGATAACAAATAGCAGCACACACTGGAAAGCGCTTGCTGAGACGCAGAATAAAGCGATGACTGACAGAAGCTAGAGCTATAAAATAATTCAAGTTATCATTATTTCTCTTCTTTTTCCCTAAGTGAACTACGTAATGATGCAGAAAGACTAATTAAGTGAACTCGCTGTCTACGGGAATTTTTGGATACTGCAGATGCCAAAGTTTGTCCCTCATTACACAATTTAGGATTTCAAGGATATGTCTTATATTATAGAAACTATTCAGTCCTTGTTAGCCTAGCAAACCTACCATTCTTAAAAATGTATTCTGACCTTGGCAGTCAATTGTTCTTATGATTTAAACAAACAAGGCTCTTTAGTATAATTGCCAGGTTTTAAATACACTTTTAGTACAGCAAGGACAGACCAGGTATGGCCTGATTTCTACTGAAAAGAATTCATTTTGCAAACTAAATTACCCCAAATTTTTCTCCTTCCAGTTTTCCAAGTCTAACTCCCATTCCTTCAAACAATCTTAATGTCACAGATTCACAGAATTGTAGGGGTTGGAAGCAACCTCCAGAGATCACCTAGTCCAAGCAGGTTCACCTAGAGCAGGCTGGACAGGAACAGGTTTTGAGTATCTCCAGGGAAGAAGTAGCAATGGATGAGCATGAAACTCGTGGACTGACTAGACTTTCTGCTAGGGTGGTTGCCTCCTCAGAGACGTGAAACCTTATTGAAGAGGGATCCCTGGGTGTCAACGTAAATACATTCTTTATTAGTAAGTTTTGGTTCTGCAGGAGTAAAGACAAAAGGAATCAAAATGTCAGGTGTCCCATTCTTCATTTCTTTTCTCTTTCAGACAGACAAGTGGCACACTTCAGACAGAAGGGCACACTTCTGCCTCCCTTTGATCATCCCAAGGCACGCGGATAGAGTTTTTTTCTATCCATGTGGAACAACTCAAAGAAAACTAGGTAGAAAGAAGAATGGTTCTTGATTTTGTGGTGCTTTAAAACTGGGAAAACAGGTCCTTATTTGGAATATATTATCACTTCATAATAAATGAAGAATGAAACATCTATGCAGGCAGTTTTCCATCAAATCTAGAGTATAATACATTCCAATTATATATATATTAGTATAAAGATTGATGAAGTAAAAGAGATTAATAATTTTCTTGTAATTTGTTTATGCTTTCCTTTATTGTTTCCTAAGATCCTTCTATAATTTATGTCTCAAATTTCAGGAAAAGTGGGGAGCATCCAAAATGGGTATTTATTCTTTGTACAAATTATTCCCACTACTGGTTTTGGTATTTCATAGGAAATTAGTATAAATCCATTAGAAAGCACATTGAATCCTGCAGTGGATGGAGGTCTAACAAATCCAATTCTCAACTTACTACTTTGGGGAAGCCTTACTTTAAAAGTTAATAAACCGGTAATGTCAACAGCAGTGAACAGAAGGCTGACTACAATAGGAGCCCTGGGTTTCATACACGCTTTTTCTAATCAAAAGGAGCCAATTATTTTTCGAGTTGTGCAAAATGTTATCTAATTGGCTGCCTAAAAGTTGTATAGACTGAGAGAAATGTAAAATTAGTCAAAATCCTGTTTCAAAAAATATACCAAGAATGTAATACATTGTTATTTTACCCAAGTGATGAAGCTCAAATCCTTTTTAGAGCCCACAGTAAGGAGTAAGGGAGAGGAAAAGACACTTGCAGTTATTATACAGAGAAACACACAAATTGATTCTTTTCTTGGCTTCTGTAGCCAGTTGGCTAAACTGGGAAGGAAACGTATGCTGTCATGCACCCCACGGTTCCTCATCTCCTAGTCATCCAGCCCGAGGACCCGTCCAGACAGGCCCAGGCATCACAGTTCCTTCCATGCCAGGCATAACAAAGAACGGGTTTAAGCACAGAACTTGCCTCAGGTTGGAGTTAAGATCCAACAGTGAAGCACCCTTGGAGCTGTAAACTCTGAGGAGAGTGTTTCAGTCCTCCAATTTAGACTTTAATCTCCACAGTCACTCAGGACCAGTGCCAAAAATCATCAGTGCTTCTTGCCTGGCATTAGTCGTACTCATAGGCTTTCATTTCAGGAGGCCAATGGAGACTACTCATGATTTTGTTTGGGTTTTTCACACACACATACACAAAATGTAAATGTTTTAATCTATGCTTTTACCAGCAAGCAGACTAAAGAAGCCACTCCATTATGATGTGGTCTTTCTTTACTCCTCTTCCCTAGCATTTTTATTGGCAAAATAATAAATAACAAAACACAGAACAATGTCAGCTTTGCTTAAAAATGTGGTTTAAGAAGCAAAACTTCAACTTAGATCAATATGAGGGTTGTGTGTGCCCCACGAGCATTAGTTATTGCAGGAAGATTAAAGTAAGTGCACTGTAATGAAAGAATTTGCAAACATCAACAATTTGTGTAACAACAGAAGGCATAATTTTTTACAAAGTTACTTGCCATTCTTAAAACCACCTGTCTTTTTTAGCCTTTTAAATTGCAAAGATTTTTCCCCTTCATTAAAAATAATCATCATCCATGAAAGGACGTCCATAACGATTGCAGTAAAATTCATCATCCTAAGAAACAACAGGTGGAAAGCAGAGTTGTGCTGTAAGAAAAACGGGGTTTGGCCTTTGCACCATTTAATATCTTTGTTTGTTATGTTCTCTAGTATATGTTCAACCTGAATGTTTTATGATTGCACAGGAGATTTTACAGCACAGAACTTCTGCTGAGCCTTGCAGAGTACTGAGATGGAATGAGTTTCATTTAAGAATATAGAATATGAGACACAGTGAAAAATAAATCATTCTCACCTTATTTAATCTTTTTCTTCTGCGTCTACTCTATTCAATTCAGTTTTTTCTCTTCTGTATCACAGGTCTGTTTCTCTGAGTAGCAGTGTAAGCCTGTATGAAGTTGGGTATTCTCATTTTTGTGAAAGAGAGCTTCTTGCTCACTAGAATCAAGTGCCCTCTTAATTTCCATTGTACCATTGTGCCAAAGCACGGCTTTGGTTTGTCATCTGTCTTCCGTTGGTGCAGTAAGCACTCTTTTTGCCTGACATTTCCTTTGAGCCATTTTAAGCTTTTACTAAATGAGTTACTACAAAACAATGAGGTTTCCACAGTTCTAGCTGTGCGGTGTGTTCTAGAGATGTGTGCATGCAGTGATTTGGTAACAGGATTGTTTTCCTACACCACTCGGACTAAAAAAAAAGAGTTCAGCTTTCAAATTATGCCTGTAAACAGGCTACCTAATGATAAGCTTACCAAAGAGGTGAAGCAGGTGGGAAAGAAAAATAGTTCCCCTCATGCAGTGAAAATGGAAACACCCCACACCATCACTCCCAGTACCCCATAGGATCAGACAGTCCTGTGTCTAATGAAAAGGTGGGGCAGGTGTCTAGGCTGCTTCCTTCTTTGTTACTTTCCAATTGCTTAGGGTTTTTTCATTTTTCAGGAGAGGAATTCCACTTTTTTCAGCGTGTAAGAAAAGAAATGAAACTCACTGAACCTGCAGAGTGCAAGGCGTAGTTTCTGTGGCAACAATCCCCTTTTGACAGCTCTCAGGACTCGCCTTCGCGTCCCGTGACTTACTGTTTCAGCAGCGCAGGTAGCAGAGGTGAGAGCAGCAAGGTGCACAAAGATCACTCATCCTATAAAGTGCAGAAATACAAGTTAATTTATGCAAAAAAAGGGAAAAATTAAAGATTAAAATAACATTCAGCTGATAATATTCTTGAGTCATTCCATAAAGGACTGCTAAACGGGTGAACAGACTACAACACATGCTGCTCAAATAACCATTTTGCTGTTTGGAAGCATTATGTTTACATTTTCTTAAATCAAAAATAATGACAGACAGACTCAATTTTCTGCTTTACCCTCTTTTAGTAATGCTTTCACTCTGTACCTAGGCCAAGCACCTGCACACCTGCACTGTCATTGTTTTCTTTAATCTTACAAGGCCATATACCAGAATTACACATACTGTCTGATCAGAAATACGTAAAGCCTGTGCCTGAGACAGCCTGTGCATGCCAGCCACTTGTTAGGACCCACAGCTGTTCTCGTGTCACCTCAGGTTAGTTCCCAGCACTGAACCTCTCTGCCAACAGATTGGCAGTGACCTAACGGGCTCCTGTTGGTGATCCTTCTTTCAGAGGACAAATTGCTGGTTGCAATGCTGCTGCTGCTTTTCTTGAAGGGTGAAGGGGGGGAGACACAGATATTATCAAATTTAGTTTGATAAATCCAGAAATCTAAGCTGAACTTAATTTCCTCTAAATTGTTTAGAATTGCTTCAGGTACCTTCTAGAGCAAATAAAAATAGATATTTACTTACATATTTACAGGTGGTAAATTGTGTTTCATTGGTGTCTTCCAACAAGTAGGAGGAATCAGAGTCTAATTAGTTAATTGTATCATAGCCTAAGACAATAATTATATTCACTGAAGAACACTCCACATAAGCATGTAGCTTTAGATCATTACAAAGCTGTCCTCCTTAAATAACAATATTGATTATGACCCAAATGGCAAAGAAATTATATGCTGAAACAAAATGAAAACCCATGTGCTAATTTCAAAGTACCTCTACCTTTATTTATTTTGCTTTTTAAGAATTGCACAGTGGGAACTATCTGGAGAAGGGGTGAGTTCCACATTCCCATCACAGAATGCATCAACAGACCATCAAGTGACAAACAATGGTATGACCTTGATAACTGGCTGTCTGAGCATCAGCTTTCCAAAGCACAGGCATTCATAGCACACCACTAGGAGCTTCAGTTACTAGAGATATGTATTTCAAAGGTTATTAAAAATTCTAGCATGAGAAGAAATCCTACTAGTCATGATAAATTATGGCTAATGGCTCAACTTTTGGAGCTGTAAATATGGTTTCGATAACAAGGGAATACAAAGTCCTGGCTGGTGCACCAAACCCAGAACGAATTGTGAGTCAAATGACCGAGAAACCCAGCTCTACTTTTGCAGAGTACTTAAGTGCATGTGAAAGTGTTTTTATAGGCGTGTAGCTACCCAGTGGTACCAGTCTGAATCTGACAGGCTCAGGACCCCCTTAAAAATTGTGTGTTTGGTGTAAGATGGTTATTTGGGATGCTTCATGTTCAAAGGGATCTCAAAATTGGCAATGAGGCGATGAACGAGGTGTATGAGCTATTGGAGGTTTCCATCCTCATTGACTCTAAAGAAAAATTCGCTGAATGGTTAAGTCCAGCCCTGGATTCTGAGGCAGGTCAGGTAGGTGAGACTGATGGAGGTCTGTTGTCACTGGCATCAGTCCGTGATGTGTTTTTAATTTTTAAAAATCTGGGATCTAGGCTTCTACCTATTGCAGTTAGGAATGCATATTATAATACCAACTACTCATCACTGAACAAAAAGGCATTATGAATATACTTTTGTTATTTTCTTTATCTAACATTCTCTTAAGCTAATGAAATATGCTCACTATATCCTCTTTGGGTCTACTTAATTTCAATAAAGTTCAGGGAAAAGAAATACATGAAGAGCATTGCTAAAAATAGAAAACAACTTTCTGTTAACTCCTCTCCTAGATCTAAATGCAGACATATTTTACACATTCAGAGACATATAAATAGGTAATCTTTCATTCAAAGCCCTTTGAAGTTTATCACCAAAAGAAAATTTGTTACATACAGATGTTTCATTCTGATTCCTGATATTTAATCAACCCACATTGTCTTTGGAGATACAGTTGTGATTTTTCACAGAAAATTTAATTACAATTACTATTCCAGACTGGATTGAAAAATTAATGTCAGGATAAAAAAATATTGGTGTTTAGTATAATCTTTGATCTTTCAAGAGCTAGAAAGAGCCTGCAAAGGATTTGACAGCTGGTTGAATAAGTCCCTGGTTGAGCTGGCTTCAGCCCTGAATGAATGACTGACTTCTATCTTCTACCTATTATTTTTGCAGAATATTCACCTTGATTTTGGCATTGTGTTTATCTGATTGCTTCAGGCAAAATTAGATTACTGACCTCATCACTTGGAGTTTTGGTTTATTCTCAATAGAAAGCATTTAGATCAAACTCATATAAAGGCTTGGCAATGAAGTTTGCACTGGGGGAATTTTATTTTTCATTTGTTTTTTATTTTCCTGTTATTTCTTTGGTGAAAGAGTTTTTACTAAGTATGGGATATGAGTGAAAATTAAAAGGTAACAATGCAGCTATTTCCTCAGAAAGAAGAGAGGAAAAATGTGCAGCCATTTCCCTTCTGAATCTGACAGGCTCAGGACCCCCTTAAAAATTGTGTGTTTGGTGTAAGATGGTTATTTGGGATGCTTCATGTTCAAAGGGATCTCAAAATTGGCAATGAGGCGATGAACGAGGTGTATGAGCTATTGGAGGTTTCCATCCTCATTGACTCTAAAGAAAAATTCGCTGAATGGTTAAGTCCAGCCCTGGATTCTGAGGCAGGTCAGGTAGGTGAGACTGATGGAGGTCTGTTGTCACTGGCATCAGTCCGTGATGTGTTTTTAATTTTTAAAAATCTGGGATCTAGGCTTCTACCTATTGCAGTTAGGAATGCATATTATAATACCAACTACTCATCACTGAACAAAAAGGCATTATGAATATACTTTTGTTATTTTCTTTATCTAGCATTCTCTTAAGCTAATGAAATATGCTCACTATATCCTCTTTGGGTCTACTTAATTTCAATAAAGTTCAGGGAAAAGAAATACATGAAGAGCATTGCTAAAAATAGAAAACAACTTTCTGTTAACTCCTCTCCTAGATCTAAATGCAGACATATTTTACACATTCAGAGACATATAAATAGGTAATCTTTCATTCAAAGCCCTTTGAAGTTTATCACCAAAAGAAAATTTGTTACATACAGATGTTTCATTCTGATTCCTGATATTTAATCAACCCACATTGTCTTTGGAGATACAGTTGTGATTTTTCACAGAAAATTTAATTACAATTACTATTCCAGACTGGATTGAAAAATTAATGTCAGGATAAAAAAATATTGGTGTTTAGTATAATCTTTGATCTTTCAAGAGCTAGAAAGAGCCTGCAAAGGATTTGACAGCTGGTTGAATAAGTCCCTGGTTGAGCTGGCTTCAGCCCTGAATGAATGACTGACTTCTATCTTCTACCTATTATTTTTGCAGAATATTCACCTTGATTTTGGCATTGTGTTTATCTGATTGCTTCAGGCAAAATTAGATTACTGACCTCATCACTTGGAGTTTTGGTTTATTCTCAATAGAAAGCATTTAGATCAAACTCATATAAAGGCTTGGCAATGAAGTTTGCACTGGGGGAATTTTATTTTTCATTTGTTTTTTATTTTCCTGTTATTTCTTTGGTGAAAGAGTTTTTACTAAGTATGGGATATGAGTGAAAATTAAAAGGTAAAACGGTGGTGAAACAATGCAGCTATTTCCTCAGAAAGAAGAGAGGAAAAATGTGCAGCCATTTCCCTTACTGTACATCAATCTGCTGTTGAAACTCATGTCTTTTAAAAGGAAAAATACTGATTATTTTATAAATACAGCAGGCTTTTGGTTTTGGAGTTGAGACAGTCTACATATTGTCTGGGAAGCAAGGTGTATATGTACAGAATAAAGCAATTAATAGAACTGAGTGGCTTGTGGATGGAATAGTTGAAATAATTAGAATTGAACAGTGCTGCTTTAGTCTCTTCTCATGATTTCTACTGAGCTACTCATATACAAGCATACTAAAAACATAGCTTATTTAGAAGTATTGCCATGGTAAATTAAACCCAGATTTCCTGTTTCTGTAAGTGTCCAGATTGCATGGTTCAGAAAGAAGCATGAGGAAGTGAAAGCAACCATGTGATCATCTTTACCCATCAATATCTTCCTCATACCAATTAGCTCAAAATTGCCTTAGATCCTGAGACACTATAAACAAAATTGTATTGCCATTTAACTGTTGACAAATAAAAGGAGAGAGGGAGTAGTACCTCAAAATAAGGAAGAAAACAGAAAACCCGTTTAATTCTTTCTTTTTCTTTTCTCATCCCTCTAATGATGGATGTTGACCGAGTGCTTTCAGCATTAGATGGTGCATCATATGCTCTGATCAAACGCAAATTCCCCTTCTGTATATCACCTACTGCAGGTCTGTCTCATCCACAGCTGAGGTTCCTCAGCTGATACATGCATCCTATGGCAGTGGCAACAGAAACACAGCTAAAAACCTAACTGCCAAGGGTGTAAACTCTCTCACTGCAAATCACTTTAGCAGAAACATTTAGCTAATGTGCTAATCTCGAGGTTTTTATCCTCTGCCCTTCCTCCTGACACGTCAGCCATGCAACCTTCCCTGAAAACATAAGCTAGTGAGCATAGCTGGCACAAATGAGGTAGCATGGAGACAACATTGCTACAAGTATGGAGACAAGCCAGAAGGAATTGAAATTTCTTTGGTGTCAAGCAGCCCTTGAGTATGACAGAACTAGCTTTTTCAGTAACATCTCACCAGCCAGCAAACAGCCTTCACGCTTTTGAGCTAACACAAGTAACACTGAGATTTCTTAACTGTTTGTATTTTTCAGCATCATCTAACTAAAGGCTTTTCTGAAGCACCAGCTAAACTAGTTTTTGTCGTCTTCAGAATAATGAGCCATGATCAGTGTATTCCAACTATGGATGGGGATGAAGAGGTAAGGAAGCAGACCTACAATGGAAAGCCATTGTTACAGAATTTATTGAATTATGGCTTGGTACTGGTGGGACATAGGAAGCTGAGAGTAGCAACAACTGCTTCTAAGGAGGACAGTTTCAACCTGTATACCTGCCCTCCGAAGGCGTTACTACACTGATGCTTCTTTCAGCAGCAGCAAGCCTTGCCAGGGCTCAGCAGAGATCCAGCCATTTTCCATGCCTAGCCCTGCTACCCTAAGCTACGTACTTGGCTGAAATACATTTAGAACTGGCCCTGATTCAAAGTTATAATTAACACATTTCTACAGTTTGCGTTGTTTAAATAAAGCTACCTGGAATTTTCAGGTGCTTTCATTCAGAATCCACCGAAAGGTCACAGATTTTTATCCCACGTACACAGGTGATGACTAACTTCTCTAGTCTTATGGAGGTCGGTTCACAGAAAATTAAAATTGCATAAAATAATAACGACTGACCATTGCTTTTTTTGTTGTTCTTGCTCTCACAAATATTTCATTTATCTAATTTTAATCATACGACCATTTATGGAAAATGAATTTTAAATCCCAACATACAAAATCCATGGAAACCAGTTTTTAAATGCCTACATGCCAAGAAGTGATGCCAAGAGGGCTTGAAAAGTCATCCGAAAAAAATAATCCACAAATAACTAGGGCGTTCAATATAAAATATGTAATACAGCCTAAAAACTAAAAAATGACATTACCTTCACGTTACAAAACAAAATTGAAATTATGTCATGCAACATGAACAGAGCAAATTTAATAAGTATAGAGCATTAATTTATGTAAGCATAATCCACAATATTCCTGTCAATAGGTTAAAGGTTAAATGTTTAATTCACAGCATTACCTATCAATTTTGCTTTAATCCAAATTTGCTTCACATTAACACAGTATGGGAGCAAGTCCAAGTTCAGATACGGGCATTACGACTGAGAAATAAACGTGCATCCTTGCTAATTTTTGGTATCGAGTTAAAAAAGCACCTTCCAGAAATTTTCTATCACTTGATCAATCTGTTCTCACAGCAATATCTGTCCTTCGTGGTGACAGACAGAGAAATCAGCCCAAAAAGATTTGGGCTCGGGAAGACCAAATATCACCAGAGGGATTTGCTGGCATGCTGATCAGCTCAGGCTGCCTTTGGCTGTCTGGACAGGAATCCCATATGGTGGCATCATGGCCAGCTCACTGAGAAAGGCAGACGTCAACGAGTTAGCCCCACGGCACCACTATTTAGCATAACAGCGTGACATACAATCTTGTTAACCCGCCATGTGCAGCAAACGAAGGCAGTGAGAACCATCAGGGTTAAGTAACATTAATAAGTGGAATGCCAATACCTGCCTCTTCAGGAAATGCTTCATTTGCTGTGTTTCATCAGTGAGCCTCGGGCACGTCTGCAAGGGTCCCTGTGCTGTATTCGCCCCTTTCTCAGACTTCTGCACCAACGTGCTAAACCCAGCCCACAAAGCTGATGGGCCCTAAAAGGGAGAGAGAATTATTCACCTGTGATTCTGTGTAAATATCTGCAATGTTATGCCATTATATGTGCAATATATGCCATTGCAAACAAGGGCATACGAAACCTTCAGACTTGGAGGTTTTTGTGACTGTTCAAAATTCTACTTGGTCAAGCCTCTTGACATTTTTTTCTTGGATTTTAAATACAAGCTTTGACCTTTAGCACTGATATCTGACCTCAACCTTGATTCTTGCTGCTTTAATTCATTAATATTTTTTTTCTATGCTCTTTCATTTCCTCAAGTATTATAAACTGGGGCATTCACTGAATACATTTGAATTAGATTTCAAGTGCTTAATGATTTAAAGTCAGAAAAATTCTTTTAATAATTAGTAGTCCTTTTTTCTGAGAAATGTCACATAAATGGGTAGGAACATTTTACTAAATATCGGAGGAGTTCTCCTGGTTCAGGTTAAGAACAAAAGTCTAGCTTATAATGTATTTGAACAAGAAGTATACAAAAGCAAAAGGAGAGTTATTTTTCAGACTTTTTTTTCCACAGAAAATTGTGAATTAATAAAGTACAATGAATAAGTATCACTTCAGTGATGTAAAACCCATCATTAACACAGAAGGCGTACGATGTGCTAATACCAGGGATGCAAGAGCCTCAGGACAGTAGTGTTGGAGACTTCAATGACTTATGAGTGGGAAGCAAAAGAAAGAGAAAAAGAAAGAAAAAAAGAAAGTGATGTGCCATTGATTACAGTTACACATAGAAAGAGAAAGGATGATGGGTGCAAATACACTCCTGGTCAAGCCCATTGTTTTTTTTTCTTGTAACTGATGCTATTTCAGTGTGAATTAGTCTCTTGACAGAAAAATTAAGCTTGGCTTTTTATATGTTTACCACACCAAAGGACCCAGGGCATCCAAAAACTTACTGATGTCCCTGCAGCATTGTAACCACAACCAGGATGATCTCATTTCTGAAATTTTAGTACCAAGTGCACCTGTGAAAGATACAAAAATGCCATAAGGTTGATGATGAATAGCATGGAGCTGATTTGAAATCATAGCTGACTTTTGTAGGCAGTCTTGTGACACTGTGTTTGTTCTCTTCAAAGCCAAACAAAAAATGAATTGACTACACTGTATCTTCATTAGTGCATATCTATTTCTATCTATCTGTATGTATGTATGTGTATCTTTTCCCTTTCAGGAACCAGGCACAGTGAAAACCTCACTCAACACCCCAGAGCAAGTACTTAACATTTAGCAGTGCTAGTCCTGTCGATGTTAATACAGCTTCTCAAATATTCTACAGTACATGTTTATTTAGCAGTTTTTCTGTGTCGCTGGCAAAAGGCCACCGTGTTACCGAGCAGATCATTGTTAAAGTGCTTCAGAATAAAAACGAAACCAGAAGTCCCAGTAACCCAACAATGAGTTTGGCCAGCTCTTCAGAGCTGCAGTCCTCTCTTCATGCAGAAGGCTTTGGGGGTGCCCATTGTCAGCCCTGGGACCCTAACAACACGGTCAGCCAGGCTTCTAGCCCATTAAATGGCTAAACTGTGCCACAAGACAATTATAGGGATTTTGTTCCTCCTTTTCTCATCTATCAGGTTTCGCACCGATGGATTTCCTGTGAGAGACAGGAACAAAAAAACAGGAGATTTTTGCTAGAAATAAGTTATAGCTTAAAAGTAAAGTGGGGAGAGGCAAAAGATACCAGAGAGGGAGAGCTGTAACTGACAAACTGTGCTAGTTAAAGTCACTAAGAGTTAGGAAAAAACCCCAGTTAATTAGGTGGAAAAGGAGGAGTAAAGTTCCAGTTTTATCCACTTAATTAATTTCCACCAGTCCTCCAGGAGGTTTAGAGATTTAGAATTGAAGTTAGGGAAAGAGGAAAAAAGATACCTATCAGCAACTCCGTCTAGACAGTTTTGACCAGGGCATAGCCAAAAAAAATCCACAGCAAGGTGTAATCAGTCTTATGAGAAAATAAATGAAAAAAATAGATTTGGATATCTTTTGAAATGGCAATCTTAAACGATGTGTATACTTCTCCTCTAACAGCTGTGTGAATGACATCGCGGGGACTGACTCCGCTCCTCTTCTGCTCCTCTGGAACATCAGAAGTGGAACAATAATAGTATACAGCTACTCTCAATACAAGAAAAACAGACACATGCTGTATGTGTGCCTATTCCTTAATGTCAATTATATTTAATAGTACTTGCTGAGCACTGCCTGAAACCATAAATAGCGTCCATCAGTACAATCAGCATCCAATTCCTACAAAAGGAATAGTGACCCAAAAAAAGGGATGAAAAATATCAAAGCTAGGGTCATAGTGCTATATTGTTATGGCTTTTCATTATCAGCTTTGTAATTTACCATTCATTATTTATGCAATAAATCCAACTCTCGAAAACATGTCAATGCAGGGCGTCCATCACAGTGTGGTGTGTTAAAGGACAATGTAGAAATGCACAATGCCCTTAAAATCTTACCATTAATTTTCTACATTTACTGAATTTTCATCAATTTGACAACCTTACCTGAACATTCAGTTGAACTGAGCAAGCATTCATTAATTACATTATTATGTCTAATATCAAGGAAAACATATTTCCAGAATTCAATTTCCTGCAAAGGACATTTGCCAAGTTTGAGATATGCTAATACTTGTGTTTAAAATATTTGCAAATGATTTTATGACCATTAATAACACTGCACTTCATCCACATGCAGATCACCCTCTGGAAAAAGATGCCATCTGTTCCTTTCAACGGTATTTTAATAGTATTTATATATGGCTCTAAGGAGGTCCTTCCGTAAGATTAAAATCTTAGATTTGTCACAAAATGGATTAATTTTTGTTGCCATTTTCAGATCTCATTATATTTTTGGCACAAAGTAAAATGGTTTTGTGTCATTTTCTGTTCTTTTTACCATTTTGTAATTTTTAATGCTTTGTAAAGATAAATTTACATCAGGTATTGAGCCTTCTGACAATTCACTCTTACAGCAGGACAGCGCTGATTAGAACTGCCAATTCCACAAAATCAATTGACTCCTACTCATAAATATCATGGGAGTAGGTCTAAGTATTGCTTGTTTCTCATAGTAATTTATAAGCAATATGAAAAAAAAAACACAAAACAAACCAAAAAAGTGTTGTTTGTTGTTTAACTTGACTGAGACCACATTTACCGATGCTTTAAATTCCTGAGATGGCTTCCATTTAAACAGAGTGCAAATATAAACAAAAAAAAAAAATTAAAAAATTGCAACAATGCACAAAAGCATAATTTATGTCCTTTTGCAATACTGAGCTGTGTAGTGTTTAGAGGCCTCCTAACACATAATAAGAAATTATTATCCTAATTTTGCAGACAGAAATTTGGCCCAAGAAGGTTGGAGTGACTGGAAGCACAGCTGTTTTTTGACAAAACTGTAATTCCCCCCGTCCTCTTACCAGCAGTCAATGCTGTTTCAGACCCACTGAGCTGAAATGGCCACAGGAGCACTCCTACCAACTAGCCTGGAAGTTAGAGCAAACCAGGTTAGGAAAGACCTCCCTCCACTGCTATGTTAATTTGGTTCATTTTAGGTGCAATGGCCTGAATCTGGAAGTGATTCAGTAACAAACAGTATGATACTGGGTATGTGCTTCCAGGGCCAGTGGTTTATTTGTTTTTCCTGGTTTTGTATTGTTTGTTTATGGGTATAATGCACATTTCTGGCAAGTTTCAGTAACTTCTGGCATCGGCATTCCCTGCAGGCGGTAATATTTTAGCCCACCAAAAGCTGTAAACAGAACAGGATGCCCATCCATGCTGCAGACTCACATTTGCTGTTCCCAGCTGAAACCATCGTGGTCCCCTTTCTCTTTGTGCATGCAAGCTTCCTGTGGGATCCAAGACATCAAGAACCATCAAACTGAGCCAGGACATTCACAGTGAGCATGCTGAAACCTGGTAAATAACGTGTAGACATAGCCACATAACAAGTGCTGCTCCACAGAGCTGCTAACACAGGAGACCCAGGCAGCTTGTATTTCCTTACTGCATGGTTTTTCCAATAATATGGCTAATTCCTCTTTTGCAGAGAATTGAATTCTGAAAGTCTTTTCCTTTATAATAGCCATAAAAACATAAATAATGAGTTGTTATGACATTTATGACAAGATGAGGTGGATGCTGAGAGGTTACATGGATCCAAGGGGAACTGGTCAAGTTCAAATTAAAATATGATCCTGGAAGTCCTGGGCAACAAATGACAGGACCCTGAGAGAGCATTTGTGGGAGAGTGTCGTATAAATTTTACTTGTTATTCTACCCCTTGTGAGTCTTCCCCTTTTAGCTGGATTTTGAGGCACAATACAGGAGCAATGGTTGTGTCTGACCTAAAGCAGCTATCCTTACATTCTCATGTTTTGTTTTAGTCACTCTGTTTAGTGGTTATCATTCCTCAGATCATTCTTGTTCATTACTTCTCTACCTCACACACAAATCTGCTCAAATAATAATTTTAAAATTCTGCTTACTCCCATTGCTCACTTCCTTGGGGAAAAAGAAAGCTGAGTGGGAGTCAAACACATTTAGCACAGATGCTGTCATAACAGAAACTAAGCCATTTTGTCCTTGATTTGAGGTGAAGGGGAAAAAAAAAAAAGAAAAAAAAAAAGAAAAGAAAAAAAGGAAAGCACTGAAAGACTCGCCTCTTTTGAAAGCAAAAAAAAAAAGATCTAAAAGTAAAATTACTACTCAGTTTGAACAATTGAATGTCATAATTGAGACCTCCAAATAAGAGGACTAACTTTTGAAAATCTGTAAACCCTCTCACTGACGACAACATATGGTGCTTAAAGTGCATTATGACTGAAGTAAGCTAATATAAATAGAATTATTTGTGTAAAGAACCCTGTCAATGAAGCACTTCCAAACCAAAAAAGCAATTGCTTTAGCAGGGCATTCCATGCTCTTCTTCAGCATGACCTTGTTAAAACCCTGAATATTTCAGTGTTGGTACATCTCTAATCCAAATGCAGTATTGCAAGGTACTGTGTAAAGTTATTAATGCAGATTGCCAGCACAATAAGATGATGGGCAGAAAACACCTGAAAAATATTACAACTGGATTTAGAGTGCCACAACTCACTATCTTATATATGCCTATAAAATACTAAATTAAAGGTACATGCTTAAGGGGTAGGTTTGGCATATTTTAAAAATCAGTCTATAACACAGGAAACAGCTACTTCCTCACCTCCCCCTTATTTCACAGCTGGAATAGCTCACTTTAAAATTCTGCTATCTGTCCATGCCAGTCTGGGTAATCTTTAACACATACACACACACACACGTGTGCACACACACACAAAATCCCCCAAATTGATGACAGTATCTAGTGGGCTCCACTGCATTCATATGTATCTAATCTCGTAATTTCAGCACACACATAGTAATATTTCCACCTGAAATACAAAATACTGATATATAAAGTAATATAAAACTATTTACTTGAAGCTAACCAAACACTTCTTTTTTTAAAAAAAATAAATCTTTGTGAGATTGCCTAATGAACAGAATAATGGCAAATGTAAATCAACACATTTTTTACTTTCTTTCATTAAAACTTTCTTATATACTTTTCTGCTTTCTGAACATAAAAACACATGTTCCAGATACACTTTTGCCTTAATCAGGGAGAAACAGTGCTGGTAAAACTAAAAAACTCTAATTGCAGAGTCCAGTTTAATATAGACAAGGTCTTATTTATGCTATGTTTATGTAGCGCCTCCAGGGTTATTTTTAATCTAATGTTGCAGCATCCTGTAATGCAGCAATGTAAAAAGGTAAGAAAAAAAAGTTTCATTGGCTACCCAGCATACTAAGCACTCACCCAGAATTCTGAAAAAAAAGTGGTATCTGTAGACAACCATAACATTTCTTCTGTTACTCCCTATTTGTGAGTGGAAAGTATGAGATACTGTAGAGGGACACAAAAAAAGTCACCACCAGAAATTCCCCAAACCTCTGACAAAAATTGGGAAGGAAAATCAGGGCTTTGCATTCACCTGTTTTTCATCCCACCAGGCAATGACAGCAGTACAAACTGCTTTGAGAACTTCCAGAATTGCTTTTTCACTACATTAATGAAGACTATGACGCTGCTTTGTAAAAAAAAATAATCCATTATGTTATAGTCTTACACTTAATACTTTTGTGTTTACTACAATATTCCACTGGACTTTGAAATAACAAAAAAAGTTATTGACTCAGTATAATAAAACTCGGTACAACATTTGGGCCTCATACACACACAAAATGATTCATTTTCTCAAATAATAAAAAGCTTTGTCTTAAGAAAGTATATCCTTAGCTGACTCTAAGAAGTCAGCCAGGCTGCATACCAGCTTGTACTTAGTCCCAGCTTGATTACCTAGTTTTAAATACTAGGGTTACATGAAAACTGAGACAAAGTTACTTTCATATTTTCACAGCATTATGAATCAACAACAGTTGGCCCCTCTGTTTTTCTTAATGTCACTATGAAGGAACGTTAGAACCATTCTTTCAAGACTTTTTTTCTTTACCTATCAATTTCATAGCCAGCTCCTGAAATGGCATATATATTTTTTGCATCAGCATAATACATTGCAAACAGTTTGGGATTTTATTTGCAGTAAATATATCAGAAAGCTGGTGTGAAAGTTTCTGGTTTGAATTATGTACTGTAAGAGTGGCCTCCCTCCAGCCAGCGTTTTAAACTCCAAACCTCTTCGCAGACTTGTGTGCTTTAGTCTGTCACTTTGCACAAATATTATGGCAAAGAAGGAAGTATTAGTGTTTGTTGGCAGTTTATATTAATGATTCTTTGAAGACTTGAAAGCCGTAACTTTGTTCTTTATGGAACACTTACCTGAACAATCCCTCACTCTTGCTTGGCCTTGGAGATGCTCATATGTGAAGAATATGTTCCTGCTCCATACAAGAAAAAAATGGCAGCTGGAGGGACTGAGAGTATTGTCTCCCCTAGTCCAGACTTCATCACTTTGTTGATAGAGCCTAAAAAAAATAAAACAAAAAAAAAATTAAAAAAGAGTTTCCAGTTCTTCCCAGAAGGCAAGGTAACTGAGTGGAAATCAACATTAACTGTAACACCTCACATATCTGATATATGAGTTTGGCAGATATGCTCAGAGAACTTTTCCCTGGGTTAAGTATGGACACATAATTGGTAAATGTTTTAAAAAGCTTTTGCATTCTTGGCATGCCTGCAAACAGATCTTGAGATACGTTACTTTTGAATATCTAGGCATTGAGAAATATTGGATGCCTTGATGGATCTGGCAATAAAAGCATGGGAATTTCAGTTATTAATTTTGTACCAAGATGGCTATGGATACGCATCTTCACATGCATTAATTGTCAGTCTGTCTACCTATCTCGCTAGCTAACTAACGAGCTTTTGGTAGATCAAAGCATGTAATTGTGAATGCTGATTATTTCTAGTCTTTTGGGCTTCATACAAATAAAAGATGCTTAGCATCTTGTGGAAAGGGCCTCCACACGTACACAAAATTTGCTAGTGTAAAAAAAAAAACCCATAGAAGGTTTCTACTTATATGATTTCTTCCATTATTCGACAATCCTAATTAAAGTAACATTTGCAACAAGATGGTGGTTACTTAAGTGTTATGGCTGACTGATTTTGTGTCCTCCGTATTGGTGTTAGGCAAGCGTCTCTGTAATCGGACTCATGACAAATTTAATGGTTAAGGTTTTCTGCTAAGTGTTTTGGTCTGTCTCTGTATTATGTACAGTTGAGGGTTTTTTTTAGTCTATGCTTTTTTTTGGCCATATGGTATATTTGACTGCTTTTTTTCCCACTAATCTTTCAACAGTCCAGACAAATGCAGTTCTGTGCCTCCCCTAGTCTCTTGACCCTTAAACATTGCCACCTTACAAAGCAGAACTATAGCCTGGTTCCAAGGAACCTGGCTCTTTCTGAAGCAAGGCATCGAGGGCAATCACAGATGTTGTATGGTTCAGTTCTTCACAAGGTTCAGATGGTAAATATTTAACTACTCCTCTTTGTTGTCTTTCTTTCCACCTTTAACAGTATTTCAGAGAGGGAAATTGTCATTCTAGCAGTAGGTTGTGACAAGGCTGTACCATCTTTTCATTTTCCTTTTTTTGTTTCCTTTTCAATTTGAGGATGCTAGCTGTGGCTTATTAAAAGGTCAATCTCTTTGCTTTAGCTGTTATAAACTTCCCTTCCCTGTAAAGCTATCGGATGTATTTTGTCTTTTTATACAAATAGCAATAAAGTTTACTAATAAACACAGTTAGTTTTCTTGTTTGGTAAGAAACATAGGGTTCTTAATATACTTTATGGCATTACATGAACGGACACTATGTTCTATGCCACAGCCAAATTAAATAAAACCTCTTTCCCAAAAAATGTGCTATTAAACATAAACATTATGGACAGCTCCTATGGAGAGTTTAGAAACCATGATGTTTGGGTGGAATTTAGGGAATTACATGCAAAATTGTAGACCAAACAGACACTTAGCAATTCCAAAAGCCAGGAACAGGAACTCATTTTCTTTGCCATGAGTTAAAAGCTGCTGCTCAAGGGCTAGTAGTAGTTAGAAAAATGGGAGTGGGAAAATCTACATAATACAAATGAAGTACATAGCAAATATTGGCCCTTAAATACCAAGCTGCTTCAGCAGGCTTTTGCAAGGTTGATGGCTCATACAAAACCTGAGCTACATGGTCTGGAAATGCCCGCAGCCGGGGTACGTAATGACCAGCATGCTTTACCAGGAATCCATTGTGGTGTTCACCCTTAACTCATATCGTCCCCTCCTGCACTATTTCTGCTCTTTTCCTTTTTTATTCACATGAGCAACAAGTTCTCTAGGGTTACAATGCAGTGAATGAAGCAGCACCCCTTGGGGAATAAATGAACCTTATTTTCTACTGGTCTGTGTAATTTGCAAATCCCTTCAGTACACATTTAAAATCAATCTATTTTGGTCATGAATTTCCTGATGAAAGAATGTAAGTTTAAAGTTTGTCCTTTGAGAGACTCAGGATCTTTTGTTTCAGCTGCTGAAGGACTGCCATTTGTTGTTTTCTGTTGGTTCTCTTTACAATGATTCATGCTCAAAAGCAACCCAAACAGAATAATTTAGAAGAAAAAGAAAAGATTCCACAGACAAATATTTAAGCTAAAATGACAAACAGGAGGAGTACAGTTTGTACCAAAAAAAAGTCCCAAAAGGAGGAGGAATATGAGAAGCTTTGTATTCTTTTGTATTAGTTTTAATCTATCAACTCTAAGACTTTAAATCTGATATGGGTCTCATTCAATAAGATATTAATGTAATACCATAAGTGTTTGAAGTAAGACACACACGACTTGCTTAATGTTATAAAAATCTTGTCTCAAAAGATAAACAATTTTTGGCCTTTTTTTTTCATGCCTGCTCCATGTTCTGTTTCAAAGGAGTTACTGTCTAGCCTCATCTTCCATCACCAGACACAATTATTACAGTACTCTTTCTACTAAAAATAAATGATACAGAAGTAATGTGATAGCCTGGTGACCAAGGCAATGACAAATGAAATAATTTTAAGAGTGACCATTCACTATAAATTTCACTTCTCATATATGTTTTATATTAGACACTGTCAGTAAGTAAATCTTGTTATATCAGAAATCTAATAATTGCCAGAGTCCTTTTGAAGCCATAGAGAAACTTATTAGCAAAGGATTTATGGCATTTTTGAATTGCTTTCAGAAAGGTACATCACATTTGCAGCTGGGACCCAGCGTGTAGAACAGCTGTCCTGACAGTGTCCTTGTACTATAGCGCTGTCATCCTGGCAGCTCTTTGAAACCTAAAAGCATCTGGTTCCCATTTAATTTTTGTACGCAGATGACTTATCTGCATTACATTTTAGTTTAGGATGTTTCATTCATTATTTATTGTACATAGATGTTCAAAAGCCAGCATCTTTGTGTATCCCACAAACCCCTACCCCCAGTATGAGCTCTTTATGTACAATTTTGATAAATCACTTCAGGTAGGTTAAAAAACAAAAGCAGAGTTTTCTCTGTGAATATATGCAAAACTGATTGAGCAGATTAAATGCTGGAAAACAACTGCAATTCATACTGGAAAATTGCCATTACTGTTCTACTAGTGCTCTGACAACTTACAGCGTACATCTAAGTTGAATGCATCGCTAATTCTGACATGTGAAGTCATTCCCTTCCCCTGTCACGGGCATAATGTGATGCTAACAACAGCCAACGCATGTCAGCCTTGTTTTGTTAAAAGCGAATAATCAGCATGAAATGCTATAATTTCTTAATTTTATTTTTTGAAGATGAGTGTCTGGTACCAACTATGAAATTGGGAAAAAATGAAGAAAAGCCTGTTGCCTCATCACCTGTTGCCTCAGAAATCTGAAGACCATTTCCAATTCCAGTTGTAAAGGAAAATGTATTTCAGATAAAGTAATTCCGCAAGCAAAATGGTGATGTGATGGAATTCGAATTTTGCAAGTGCCTTTTGCATTATTTACACATATTGACAATGCATCTGGAAGAATCAGGGATTTGGGGAACTAGCATTTCAGCTTGTAGAAAACAGAAAAATCTTAAATTAGCAGGCAGGCCAAGGGGCAGGGGAAATACCATAAATTCTTTACTAGCGACACCTTGCAATCACCTACGCTTAAATAATAAGTTCTTGAAGAATCTTAAACAAGTTATTGCGTTATTTTGCTACAGCAGCATAGTGAAAAGATGATTGTACAGCAGTATTCTATTGATTTACCAATATTCCTGTGATAAGCACACGCAGATTTCAGACATGCTATGGCTACCAGTTTCCCAACATCTCCTGACATAATCAAAGAGGACTGCATGATCTTTTTATTTTTCTTGTATGATTAAAAATCATCAGCAACACATAGAAGCCATAATTGAAAAACCGTTGCAAAACCATGCATGCATTTGCATTTTCCAAGTTTATGAAATGAGGTGTTTATATTTCGTCTTCGTTGCAGAGAGAACATTGCTCTACAAAGGGAATCTAGAGGAACTGTTTCCTTTTTTGTCAGGTAGTACATCAGTTTTAATCATTAAGATGAGCCAGACCAATTTTATTCTTCGGGGTTTTTTCTCAATAACAGAATTAAAATTAAATTTAAGATATAATTCCTACAAATAAATTTAATTTTATATTTAATCCATGATAAATTACAAGAAAATAAATAGTAAAGGATGGGAATTTATCATATACTCTTAAGAGACATATTTCACATCCTAGGAACTAATATTTCAGGATGTGTAAATGAAAAACAGTATCTTGGATTACACAAAGTGACATGCCTATTCGACAGCAGGGAATTCTGAAATTTGTGGTTTATAACAATCTCCGCCTTAAAGTTGCATCTCTGGGCAAATAACTGCACTGTGTTAGCTTCTCACCTCTAATTTGAACTGGGTTTTCTTCGCTTTAAACAATAAAATATTGCTCATCTCATCTCTTCTGACATCTGTCCATTACTGGTCAACTATTCCCAATTTTATATTAGAAAATGATTGGCTTATAATTTTATTTTTGCAAGCACATGAACTATCTTCCATATTCCAATCTACCTAAGTTACAGTTGTTCTTTGAACAAAAGAGTGGAAGAGAGTAACTAACTCTCTGAACTGTAGATTGCAAACTGCATCAAGCTGTCCACAGAAGTGTTTTTATTCATGGACTATTCAACTTTTATAGAAAGAATTTGATTTTTTTTTCAGTTGCAGAAATCTACTTTTTAAAATACTACATCAAAATTCACAGAATGCTTGAGTATAAATTTCAGAGATATATATTTCCAGGGATATATATCTCTCCAGCTATATTGCTGGGATAGATTAAACTGAGTATAGTGTTTTAAACAGACATTTTAAAGTTCTCAGGGAAAACAATGTTTATGTTGGATGAAAATATAACCTGAAGGTATACCTCATGAATATCCTTCAATCA